TGTCACAGTTCCTGATGCGTACTCACTTCGTCGTTGACGGATGTTCGGGACGAACATTGACCATCCACCCTGAAATATCGCACTCAACCAATGGCATTGCACCTATTGTGACACGTTCATGACACTGTGCACTGATTGGATAATCCTAGCGAGCAAGTCACACCGATGTAATTGATCGGAGACAGTGTCATTTTACGTCAAAATGTACAAGCGCCTATCGATCAGAGAGAAGTCGAATGTGTCGGAAATGTTGAAGCGGCCAGGTGCAACTCAGAGCTCCGTAGCCAAGTCACTTTCACGAAAAACTGTCTACAATGCTGTATCCCATCGAACGACTATCGGGGAATTTTTGAACGCTGGCGCATCTGAGGGACGATGCCACCTGAAAACCAACGAAAAGTTCAAGGCAGTGAATGAGGCAACTTTGGCTTGGTTTACTGCTATGAGGGAAAAGCACAGATAGTTCCCAATGGTGGAGAGCATCATTCGTAAGAAGGTAATCCAGTAACAAAGTTTGCATCATAATGACTTCAAGACTTACAAAGGTTGGTTTCGCTCTTGATCAGAAAGATATGGTATTCAATCGTACAAATCAAGAAACAAGTAACTCATGTGCCTTACTTTATATGCCTGTGAGGAAAGTTTAGCGGTACCTGTGGTTATTCTCTACCAACACTTGAGCAGCATCCGATTCAGAACCTATCCTCCTCCCATGCCGGCCCGAAAATCACACGACCGATCGGGCTCATTTATCGATCGGTCGGATAGATCACCGCAACAAGAGACCATTCGTGCTTGCCCACCGAGCGAGAGACAGCACCTTGTCTACAACCGCAAGTCTTTGGCAGACCCAGTGAACTTCGGCTGCACAGCAGGCGTGCTTTCATCACACGGATGGACTGCACATGACAACAAGATCAACACAAAAAGTACAAGACAATGTGAAATGATGAAGTAATCGGACTATCGCACTATCCACATAGCAACATGACACATTAAATTGATTCCCGGACATCTTAAATTGAAAAGATATCCTTATAAATCATGTTTAGGCATCACAACTTAGTCGAAGGCACCGTTATGATCAGTGCTATTCGATGGCAATCAAAAATATACATCAAATACCATAAACGACCAGCCTATTATATAATGAAAAGAAGAGGAAGTGCAATATCGAATTCAGACTGTTGGGGTTGGTGATTCACTAGGCTGAAAACACATCGTTGAGAACAAAATTCGGCTGTCCTGGATTGCCCTTGTATTCGACTCAACCGTGTCAGATGGCAATGGGTGATCACAACTCATGTCAATTCACACACTTACTGAATCGTCTGTGTATCTGGTACGGAAAGCCGACCGTTCTGTTTCGATCTTTCGCTGTTCGATGGGTAATTCGAATGTGGAAAGATCAGTGCCATTGGTGTGGCCTCCTGACTCAGCTGGTATGGCGTGTACGCACAAAGCGTAGGCGTCCGTGCGTGGGTTCGAATCCCAACGCGGCTACTGAAGTTTTCACAACCGCCATATAAAGGAAAGATGACAAATCACATTTGGCCTGGCTGAACGCATCACGTTTAAGTTTTCGATAATCGTGCGAACAAATCATGCAATGAATCATGCTCACCTTCACGTCTGGGCATGGTGAACGACTTATCGATCAATCCTAATGTGATTCGCTTCTTTATCCGACCGACAGAGGTCAATTAACTGCGGGTTCGTACCTATGACGCACACTCGATCAACGATCACGAATATGATGTTCCCGGGTGGAACGAGAGTG